AGTATAATGAACCATTCGCAGCATACGATTGCGAAAGACTCACTGGCGCCGAGTCGTTGAAGAACTTTTGGAAAGTAAACGTAAAAGAGGGAGTTGCGATGCTAGCAATTCAATATTCGTATGAAGTCTCATAAAAAAATTCCTTGTGGTTTAAAGAATATAGGGAATGGTACATTTTACTAAAGCCAGCCTCCCGACATAAGCTACTATTTAATAGGAACACAAATATATTCGTCTACAAATAATGTTGATTATATTAATTAAGTCCTAAGATAAGTTTATGAATCTTATCAGTGTTCTATGTAAGAACCAAAAATTAATCCCCTCGCCAATTAGAACTTTTGGTTTAAAAGAAAAATATACATAGTGCATTTACTCAATACTTTTTCTGGCATCACTGTTTGAGCATGGATGTGCTCAGCTCACTGTTGCCAAGGTCGTGCATTTTGCACTAAATTTAGTGCTTTTGGGAAACCAGAAAGCCAAAATAATTGGAATTCAATGCTTGGTGCGTTATTTAGTGATGCTTTAATTTAAGCACACCGAATGCATAGGTACATACAAGTGTATATATGTATGTACATACCAAACACTTATATTCTACATTAAGATGGAATTCATTTACAGAATAAAATGTGAGGAATAGGTAAATTAAATATGTTTTGCGTTGTTGTAAATGTATTTAAATTAATTTATTGATAAAAACATGAGGAAATGGATGTGTATATACACTTTTTACTGAATCAAAAAAATTATTAAACATGATAATAAAAACTTGGCGCTTTTGTTTTGGAAAATTGGCTTTTTCTGGTGCCCTGATGCCACACTGGCTCAGTTGTCGCAAAAGTACACATACATACACGCATTTTTACTTGAAAAGAAGTGTGTAGTGGTTAATATGTATACGTTGCCATCTCCGTACAGCTCACTTCACCTCGCCTAGCACGCTCGCGTGCTCGCAGTTTGCCCGCGACGTCAACTGCGTGCACCTATGCTGTGCATCCCTACTTTAGACATTGATTTCACACAATCAAGCCCTGCCTTAGCCACAAATCTGCGAACATTTTTCTCTGTGCCACACCACTAGTGATTTATGTACTCTTAGCTCTTTACTTAATGCATTTAACATTCTTAATTTTCAAGTTTTAGTAGCACTTAATTAGTGTTAGCTGAGTAGTCTGTAAGAATAATTTGTATTCTAAGCAGTGTTGCCACTATTAGTCTTTTCCCACCAAATTTGGTCGCTTCTTTTTCATTTGGTAGGTTGGTCGGCAAATTGCAATACATATATATACATATTGCAAACATCACTTTGCATATAAATATTTTCCAATTGTACCTTTTAAACATTTGCCAGTCATTTGCCTTTAAAAATAAGAAACCTAATTGGGTTGGCCACTGAAGGAGCAAATGTTATGGCTGTAGACTTGGGCGGGCTGAAACATTATATAAAGTGCACCTGCCACTCAATTCACCTTTGTTCCAGCTACGCTTGTAAAAAATTGCCGAAAAACATTGAGACACTGTGCCGCAACATATATATGGGTTGTACACAGTTCGTTCCTAATAGTGTCTCAAAATGTTGATGTACAAAAATGAAAAACGACGCCGCACAGTGCCGCCTAAGTGGGAGAGAATCAAAAAATTCGTTATCTGCAATGTGAACTTGTTTCGTATTTTTGTAAAGACAATTTATCCACTAAAAAGAATTAAACAGAAATTTCCCTAAAAAATTTATTGTATGCCGCCAGGAAAGCACTAAAGTCGACAAATTTTATACTAAACATTTTAATAAGCTCTTCACAGAAAAAAATATCAAAAATATATTCTTTGAAATAAAATGTTGGTTTGACGTTTCTTGTTTCCATATAGATAGTAGAGAATTACAAGAATTAAAAGTTTGTAATAAAATTAAACACAGGGTGTCCCTGCGGTGTTCCAGAAAGACAATTTTTTTAAACAAAATTTCAAAAAATGCTAAATTTTAATGGAATGAATAAAAAAATATATGTAAAACTAGGTTATTTTTATTACTTTATTAAATAGTACGGGCTTTTAGCTTTCAAAAGAAGAAATAAAAACCTGCTCATTTTTTTGCACTTTTTGTCAGTGCCTTGAGATCTGCACGATTTGTACCATTTTCAAAAATGAAGTGTCAGATTAAAAATCTTGACCTGTGGACAATAGAAGGTTTATATTTTTTGTTGCCACCTGTTAAAAAATTCGATTGTTGAAAAATTAGATAAACTTTTTTTATAAGTTAAATGAATTATTAAGAGATGGGTATCAATCGAAATGTGTATTAGCTACATGTAGAGAGTTGCCACCTGTTTAAAAAATTAAATTCCACTTGAATTAAAGGAATTGTGTAATTGAAATGGATAGGTATCACCATAAGGGAGTCAGACGAAAGTGGATTAATAAGGTTTTAGCTTAAAAATATTACGAATAGGGCTGCCACCTGTTTGTAAAGTCGAATTTAGTTGAACTAAAGTAATAATTACGTCAAACCATAGGAGGAATGCTTTTACTTTCCACTTATTTCTTGCTAAATATGTCAAATGTTTTCATTTGTCTGATACTCATATTGACATACATATTTCAGTTACCTTATTCCCTTAATTAAAGTGAATTTGATTTTTTAAACATATGGAAAGCCTTCTACGTGTCATTTAGAAGTAAAGTATTTTGAAAACTTGTTCAATTGATACCCATATTGTAATATCTAATCCATTTAACTTATTAAATAATTTTAATAAAATTTGTAACAGGTGGCAACCCTTTTAAAAAGTACAAAACTTTATTGCACATCTACAGGCCAAGCACTACCATTTGACACTACGTTTGGCACTACGTTTTGAAAATAGAACGAACTATCTATATGTACGTACCTATGTAAAAGCCACAAGAACCGACATTTTCAACTTCAAACTGCATTTACAGTGAAAGTATGAAAATTATCCAAAAACCAATGGCATTTTTGAATTTAGTCCATAATTCTATTTTTGCCCACATTTTGTATGGAAGGGAAGCATAGTGCGCCGTCTACATTTTGTCACACTCAAAGGTATGTTTTTTACGCGTCTACATTTTGCAACCTCGTAGCAGAGTTGCATTATGGCAATACCTATCAAAGTTTTTTAATTTATTGGGGGGGACGTTTTCCTTATTTGCATTTGATTTGAGCGCAATGGCTGCTGAAAACAAACAAATCAAGGAAAATAAAGAACAAATATTGGCAATTGGTAATAGTTAAACACAAACAAAGAAGAATTGTCTGGCAACACCAGTAAAGTTTTGCGACGATTTTGCGACAACTGCTGGAAAGGAGTGCTCTCAGTTTGATGCTAAAAATGTCTCAAAATGTTGTCTCAATTTGGTACGAACGGTGAATACCCCAATAGTTTCTTTTCCCGCAGTCCAAAGAGGATACATGAACTGAAGGAATTTCAGGACTACTGTTCGGTAAAACCCCACAAAATCTTGGGCATATCTCAAACACGATGGCTTTCACTAGGAAGCGTTGTTTTAAGAATAGGTGAGCAATGGGATAGTTTGAAACTTTATTTTATTTCCTGCTTTTACGAAGTGCGATCTGCAGACCTGGCAGAAGGGATGTGTTGCAAAACCAAATGCTATTTTAATTTCTATCATACATTTCCCCTTAGTTAACAATCTTAACAAAGAGTTTCAAGCTGAAAGCTCTCGTTTGCCATCCTTATATGCAGCTATCAAAGCACATTATCCCTTAATTTTGAGTAGCTTTATTTAAAAAGATGCGATCAGTAACATATTATTGTTGATTTCAAAAACAAAAATAATCATGTTAAAATATCTGAAATTTTTGTTGGAACGAAAGCTCAGATGTTTATGAAAAGTCAACTGTTCTGGAATCCTTGAAGTTAAAACCAACATAATAAAGTTTTCCATAAATAAATTTAAGATTTGATTTCAAAGGTGAAGATATAAAACTTTTACAAATAATGACAGCAGCTAAGGTAGTTTCTAAAGAAGATTTACTAATTTTACCTCTTTTTTTAAATTTCCCCATCTCATAGATTGGGATCCTGATATAATAACCACGCAGTGGAATTTACTGAGGCAAAGTGAGCTTGATATTTCCAGCGCTCTGGAATTGATATGTTTTGGGAAAAAGTTTATTCTATTAAATAGTTGAAGTGCAGTCAATGCGAAAGGTCGTGGTTTTGCTCGCTCCGTGTTTATCTAATTTAGATGCTCACGCGTCAGTAAAAATGCGCCTAATGCAAAATCTAAAAACAATGCCTACACTCTACGTTCTAAAAAATGTGTTTGTAATAATTCTAACAACAAAGTTCAGTCAGCTGGTTCAATTCGCAAATCTCCAGTTATCCCATCAGTCACTGTGACCGGAGAGCCTAATCCTGTTGTTGCGCCCACTGCCGTTCCTTTTAATTCTCCTTCTTCTTCTCAAATGACTGCTGCTGCTGGTGAGCCGAATGAGACTGCTTCCGTTGCCGCTCTGCTTATTGAATCTGTTGATGGAATTGTACGTCGTTATTGTGCTAATGTCGACGTCGAAGCTGCTGAAAACTCAATTTGACTACTGTACGTCGTGACTCTGCCAACGTGACTCTGCCTCCACTGAACAGTCTGGTAATTTCGTTAAATCGGAAGCTTTAAGAACATATCCTATCTTTTCGTTTTAATTATATTTTTATAATAAAGTTCAATTTAGGAAGCGCAACGAATATTTGAGACGCCGCTGTGGCTGAACTGTTTGAAATTTCGCATCCAAAGCAACAAGACAGTTCACGCTTTTGTGCAAAACAAATTTTTGCCTTTTGCATCAAAGAGTGAACTCTAGTACAAAGTTTTATTTTCAAGAGCGTGTTTAGCCATTGTTTAAAAACACATGTATGTAAATATCTACGAGTATCTACACAGCGGTAGCTTTTATCAGCATAGCACTATACTATCAACCTGCTATAATTTTTAGGATAAGGAAAATTTTTACTTACTAGTTGGAAATATGTAAATACTGTTCACATGCGAGTAAGGTTCCTCATCTATTTCCTTTGTGTATTCGTAATGTGTGATGTAGCTGTCATCCTTGGACACAGCAGATACGACGCCACTTTCTTTCATATTGAATAGCTGTCCTTTTTCGCCTTTAACTCGTTTCTTCTGCCTAATTCTACTAAAAGTTTGTTGGTAGTTGCTATTTTGCTGACGTTCATCGTTCTGCACATCATCGTGTTGGTCATATTCAATATCACTTAACTCCAACAGTGCATCCCTGTTGTTATCCTTAGGAATTATTCCGCGGTGGTGGTGCGAGTGTCGATTGGGTGGAATGCGGAATGTTTGATATTTGGGTTTATTATATGGATACTGATAGTGCTCTTGCTGGCCATGCTGAAAATGACGAGCATGTTTAGAATAGTGCATCAGAAAGGGCACATCTTTTTCTGTATGTCTGGGCGTGTTTGTATACATCAGGGAAAACTTATCTACTACTTTTGGCTTAACATCTGAGCCAGCGACCACATCGAAAAAGGTGGCGTTTCTTCTGTTTCCGGCCAGCGTGCTATTGAAGTTTTTGTAAAATTTCTCAATAATACTATGTGGGACGGCAATCGGCTTGGTAATATTGGGCAAGCGGACCAGCTGTAAACGCATTAGAATTTGATTTTTTATTGATTCTAAGCTCCTGAGCTTCGCCTTTTCACGCATTTGACATGACTGACAGCTTTCATAGTTCTCCTGTAGCGTTGAAATTGCTAAACTGTGTACACCGATGGCCTGGGCCTGTGTCGTTTTTGGGTCTGAGTCTAGCATGATGTTGTTGTGTCGATTGAGGAGATTTTCGCGACTCAAATACTTAAGACTGCTATATCGCATGGTTTCTTGCAACTCAGACGTGGAAGATGACATGGCTTTCGCCAGCATAGAAATCATTTGTAACTGCGTGTTGATGCTCGTATGGGTTGTCATATTTTGCATTCCAAGTAGCGTTACCGATTCCCTTAATATCAACGCAAGGCTCTGGATTACCGTCTTATTCTGTAGTTCATTGATGGCATTTCCCAATGGAGCCTCATCATTACTAAAAAATTTCCAATTTAATGCGCCGTGCGTTTTTGCATCCATTAGGCGAGGGATCATGTATTTTAGGCGCACATCCGGTGCCGCAAGCGGATAATTCACTGCATCCTTCATTTGAATACAACTACCCGAATGTGTTAGCAGAAAGCACCCTATTACCACCCGCCACGTAAGTGAAAGTTTGTGTTGCCAGCATTTTTGATGCTGTCGGTAATTGTGGGATCCCCAAAGCATATTCTGTTAAAAATAAAAAGAATGTACACATATAGGTATTTTGTCTTTATATTTACAAAAGCCCTTAAATGAGATTTTTGGTTTTTTAAGACGGAAAGAAAATAAATACTGAAATATTTAGATGGATACAAAATAATTAAAAACCATTTGAAGAAATGCTAGCGGGTGTATTTGACATCAAACTAGTGAAGAGAAAATAGTTTACCGGAAACTTACAGTCTTTTACTATGACTATTGCGATGTGTATAAATATAAATCGTTAGACCATCTGACATTAGGAGTTTTAAATACCTTTGAACATACATTACTTATTGTACACAACAAAGTTGTATATAAGAAAGCTTTTTCCTGCACTAAGTCTAATTTAAGCTCGTTGTACAACAGCTTGGCACATTAGATGCCTTGTTGTACAACCACATTTGATAGACGGTTTGATGAAAATAAAAAGGAATCGCCACTTCGTCGGGTTATACAACAGTTTTGAGTGTTAGTGGTTGTGTTTGATAGGCTTCATTATTGCTCTTTCGTTGGAGTAGAAACATCAACTGAAAATGAGTTCAAAAAATTAGTTCTTCATCCGCTTCAATTATTTCGCTTACAACAAGTAGAGCTAACACATTCATATCCATGTTGTTGTTGTTGTAGCGGCTACAACAACCTCTCCCATATCGATTAGTCACTCCTTCGTTGTCGTCAAGCTCAACTAACGGGAGACCCAACAACGTGCAGCTTTGATAGGGTCTGTCCATAAGGACAGGGGCGTTAGTTGAGTGGGGTTCAGTGGGCTTGCGAAGAGATGTATCGAGTCATGGGGTGTCTCTCCGCATGCCGTGCACTCGTTTGTCATATCTGAGTTTATTCTGCTCAGGTAAGAGGTTAACGTGCTGCAGTAGCCAGAGCGAAGTTGGGCTATTGTGGTCCGAGTCTCTCGAGGCAGACGAAGCTCTGTCTCGTCCACGCCCGGTGGTTGTTTGCCCAAAACGACATTTACATCTCGAGATTCTATATAACTCGAGACTGACTCCCTATGCCATTTAAGGCCTGTCGGTATGCTTTCGGGTCAAGAGGTTGCTTTATGAACCTCTGACGAAGTCCGTCCGTCAGTTCATATATATGCCTTCTGACGTGCCGTTGTGAGGGTTATGCTCCCTTAGTAGGGAGCCTCGTCGTGCAGCTGACGATCCAGCGACATCAGAACTCATCCGGTCGCTGTCCGGAGTGCAGTGTTTTCGCAAGTCTGTAGCTTCATCCACTGCGTCCTACTAGTCCCCGGCGACCATACAGGCGCTGCATATTTCGGAACTGGCAGACCAATTGCTTTGCACTTTGTCAACAACGTGCCTTTGCCATTTCTCCAGGAGCTGCGGGGAAGGGACTTGATTACCTTGTTGTGGCTTTGTACTTTATTGACAATTTCAATTGTATGCGCCGAAAAGGAGAGCAGACTGTCGAAGGTTTCTCCGAGGATTTTCGGATCATTCACCGTCGGGATTTGTTCGTCATCGACATGAATACCCGCTGCAGTCTGACCACCTTCGTCCAGGTGCTGAAATGGGTTGCTGGGGATTTTGTGGGGGAGAGGGTTAGGCTCCTTGCAGAGAAGAAGTGAGAAAGCTCGGAGAGATAACCGTTTACTTTGGAGCACAATTCATCAATTCCCTTCCCAGACCCCATAATCGAGCGATCGTCAGCATAAGAGACATTCATATCCACCGCATGTGTTGTTTACTGTTGAAAGCGTAGGCAAAAATGATGTTTGATGATAAATCGAACGACGATGTCTGAACCTTCATGGCGAAGCATGCAATCTGTAGTACGACGGCGTAGTACGACATATTATCTCGTTAATGGCCTGCATAAGGATTATAAAGGTCGTGAGTTTTTATAAATGAGATGTTTAGTTTCTGAAATAAATTGTTATTTTTTAAGTTTATTAAACAAAAACCTAGTATATCTATATGTATGTATATACATACCCTGTAAAAAGTGGTACTAGATGAAATACTAGTATAGCACCACGCTTCCTTGTTATTAACACTAGTAAGCAAAATAGTCCAAATGCATGTAGGAAAAATAGTTACATAAATATTACGATGTCATTGGTTCTGAACACCTGTGGTCCATCGTTGCATGCCATAGGACCACCTATACATCTACCGCCGTTTGGGCCATGACTGAACCTCATAAGATTCTGTATAAACCGAGAATACTGTATTTCAGTATTTATTAAAGAGCTTTTTTACATTTAAATAATACAGTTCATTGTTTAAAACGTATTTTCTTAAAATTCGTTTTACTAATATTCACATTCGGGTGCCGAATAAAATTGCCGATGAACCACGCAGTGGTGCAGAAATATCATTATTAAAATATAATGATTACGCAACACCAGTTAAATACAAAAAACAATTCAGAAATAAGCGGAATAGGCCAAGGAACAATATCATCAATAGGAACGACATTTTTAGAATTTCAAGTAGAAAATATACTTATACCACATACATTTCAAATCATAAATGAAGATTTCCCTATACCATACGATGGTATATTGTACATTCAATTGTCTTTTAAATTTCCTTAAAGGAAATGACTATCTCATAATACGTCCGGGCAATCACAAACAAATACCTATACGAGTTTACCCGAATCACAAAGAAAATTCAATAATAATTCCAGCCAGGTCAGAAGTAATTAGAAAATTAAACATAAAAACAAATGAACCTGAAATATTTATACCAAACCAAGAAATTACTCCAGGAGCAATAATCAGCAACACAATTACAAATTCACAACGCCCGTTAGTCCGAATACTAAACATAAATGAAAATATCACAATAAACAATCAAAACATTTTCTATGAAAAACTGTCCGACTACGATATCCATGAAATAGACCAAAGTAACTCAAGTAGTAGAAAACAGTGGTATTAGAGAAACTCTCAAAGAATTTTCCCAAAGATCATAAAAAGGTATTAACTTAATTATGTTCAGAATATAGCGACATATTTGGCATCGATTCAGAGCCAATAACAGCAATTAATTTTTATAAGCAGCAAATACAACTTACAGATCCTACTCCTGTGTATATAAAAAATTATAGAACCCCGCACGCCCACAAATTAGAGGTAGAAAAGCAAGTGAAAAAATTGGTAGAAGATAATATAGTCGAACCTGCTACACTAGTGTACAACAGTCCTTTACTTTTAGTTCCAAAAAAAGTCAGTGCCAAATGCAAGTGAAAAACGATGGAGGTTAGTCATTGACTACCGCCAAATTAACAAAAAACTAGTTGCAGATAAATACCCTTTACCAAGAATTGATGATATTCTTGACCAACTTGGAAGAGCAAAATATTTTTCATGCTTAGATCTCATATCAGGTTTTCATCAAATAGAATTAGAGAAAAATTCCATTCACCACAAATTCATTTTCCACAAATAGTGGCTCATATCGCTTCAACGACTCCCTTATGGCTTAAAAATAGCACCAAATTCTTTCCAAAGAATGATGACCTTTGCATTTGCTGGCTTATCACCAGCACAAGCCTTTATCTATATGGACGATTTAGTCGTTTTAGGATGCTCTGAAAAGCACATAATCCAAAATCTAACCGATGTATTTGTTTTGTGTAGAAAGCACAATTTAAATCTCAACCATGCACAGATAACGGCATTCTTCCAGAAGATAGCAAAAACAAAATTATTCAAGAAGCAAAAGATTCGTAGCTTTCTGTAATCACTACAGAAAATTTATTGAAAATTTTGCGGAACACTCCCGCCACATAACAAGATTATGTAGAAAAAAAAGTAAGTGCGCCTGGGCCACACTGGAGAAGTGGAACTTACGTTACATACATATCTATTTTGTCTCATAACCAATATACACACATACATCTGCTTTTGCATAAGGTTATATTTTTTGTCTTTTTATACCTTTCATGAGCATGAAATGGTATTATAACTTTGGTCCGATGTTTGTAAGTACCAGAACAAAAAGAGATAGACCCATGAAAATGTATACTTATATGATCAGAACGTCGAGTTGAGTTGATTTAGCCATGTCCGTCTGTCCGTCTGTCCGTCTGTCCGTCTGTCTGTCTGTTTGTATGCAATCTAGTCTCTCAGTTTTCGAGATATCCGCATCAAATTTGGTAGGTGGGTGTATTTTTATAATGTATTAATCATTTGTCGGAACCGGAAGAATCGGACCACTATAACATATAGCTCCCATACAACTGATTGTTTAGATATGAGATTTTTCATTATAACTTCTCCATTTATGCAGCTACGAACATGAAATTATGCAATACTTGCACCCATTATCAACAGAATACTTACAGTGAAAATTACAAAGATCGGGTCTCTATAACCTATAGCTCCCATACAACTGATTGTTCAGATATAAAATTTTGCGTTATAACTCCTCCATTTATATAGCTAGGAACATGAAATTCCGCACTGTTTTCAATAATTATCAACAGAAAACTTACAGTGAAAATTAAAAAGATCGGGTAACTATAACCTATAGCTCCCATACAACTGATTGTTCAGATATGAGATTTTTCGTTATAATTCATCCATTTATGTAGCTAGGACCATGAAATTTCGCGCTGTTTTCACTCATTATCAACAGAAGACTTACAGCGAAAATAACAAAGGTCGGGTCACTATAACCTGCAGCCCCCATACAACTGATTGTTCAGATATGAGGTCTTTTATCATAACTCTCCATTTATGCAGCTAGGAACATGAAATTTCGCACCATTTTCACTCACTATTAACAGAATACTTACAGTGAAAATAACAAGGATCGGATGACTACAACATATATCTTCCATACATCTGATTGTTCAGATATGGGATTTTACTGTAAAACTCCTTTATTTGAACAGCTAAAACCGATAAATTTCGTAAGATATTTTATAAATAATAATACAAAGTCTACTGAGAAAATCGTCAAAATCTATGGTGTATAAGCTTTATCTCCTATAGCACTGATTGTTAA